CCCTCGGGTGGCCCGGACCCTGGTTGCCGCATCGTAATGACATTGACAATGGGGCTCCGGCATCGGCTTCGGGAAGCCGGTGTCTACATTTAGTGAACCAACTATATACGCGAACGCGGAATCGACGCTGTCTCTGTCTCCTAGATTCAGCGTCGTCTCAGCGAGGGCTAGTCGAGGGGATTACGCGTCGTCAGCGAATTTCTCAGCGAATCCGTTTCTCCCGGGCACATAAGGAACTATACCGTTGTAATCCTCACACTTTCACCTTTATTTTGATGTAATGGTCGATGTACTTTGTTTGAGTTAAGTACCCAAGAATGCTATTTTAGTTTATGCTCACACACGCTCCGCCCGGCCGGCGGCGCGCTATGGCTTTAGTGCTCCTAGTGATCCTGGCGGCCAAAAGTTTCAGTTGCCATCCTCATTCTTTCTTGAGTTAGGGTAAGGGGCCCAGTAGTCGACAGTTTAAGAGCAAGGCTTTTCAAAAGTGCCTACAACGGAGCGTGGGGGTGTACGGTAGCGTCAAGGAAAAATTTCGGGGGTGTAGTGGAAGGATTAAACTTAATGTCCCATAGGTCGAAAATGGAAATAAATACATTTTTGTACACAAAAATGTATAACAAAAAACAGTGTTCATTGGCCCAGAAGTCGACACCTTTGGTCCAGTAATCGACACTGCCTGGCCCAGTAGTCGACACTCTGTCATTTTACCCGTATTGCCAAGTCTGACGGGTCCCTGCAGCCTGGCTAGCCTGCCTATGCCTCTCGGTCGTCTTTTTGGCCATCAGGGTGTCCTTCTCAGCCCTCTTTGCGAGGTGCTGTTCGGCTCTTTCGTCCTCCAGGCGACCTCTTTTGAACTATGGTGAAAAACGATTTTTTGGCTACATATCGGAAAACAATTTTCATAGCGCAATTAGTCTAAAATGAAACAGTTCTGTCGCGTCAAAGCACACCTAATAATGTATAGGACGACACGATGTGACATACAAAAACTAGGGAGGGGAGTGCCGGCAATAGCTTGCTAATTAAACTTTAGTTAGTCAACTACAATGTCTTGTGGGCAAGCTGAAGATGTTATCGCACAGCGTATCGACTCACTCCTGAGTTATCTCCTTATATAAATTCCACACCGAACCGCATATAGCCGTTCCCGGGATTATGCCTACGGGAGCCCAGGGGGGTGAAAAGTGT